GATCATATTAGGAAAGTGAACACAAAAATAGAAAAGAAGCAAATGGGGGGATGGGGAGGACCGAGAAATTCATTCTCTGGAAAATGAAATGGGGCTATGGGGGTGTGGGAGTGAGGGAATGAGAAAAAATGAAGAAATAGAATAAAATAGGAAAATAAATAAAATAAAAATAAAAAGGGAAAATAAAAGGAAAATGAATAGGGGAAGGGAAGGAAAAATGGTGAGAGTTGAGTGAGAGGAAAAGCCAAAAAAGAAAAATGCAGGAAAGGGAAAAGGAAAAGGAAAAGAAAAGGGAAAAAAAAAAAGGGCAATGCTCAATTCAGAAAAAGACCCCCCTCCTCCTCCTCTCACACACACTCTTTCTCGCTCTCCCCTCTCTCTACTCTCTCCTAGAAAAGAAATCTAATAAAAAATAAACAATACTTATAACAAAAATAATAAAATTAAAAAATATAATAAAATAAAAATCGATCTAAACCAGGGAAAGAAAGAAGACCCATCCAAAACCTTGAGAGTCACCCGAGGAACTGGTTCCCATTTGGAGATTTCCACTGCCACTAAGCAATTCCTCTCGTTTTTTTCTTTTTTCTTTTTTCTTTTTCTTTTTCTTTTTCTTTTCTTTTTTTTTTTTTTTAACACTGGCGCCGTTTCGAAGCCTAAGCGGCCCAAAATAACGATCTGCAACCGTCCCCGACGGGACGTCGTCAGTGGCACTAGGCCATCACCAACACGGCAACGCCAGGGCTTCCCTTCGTCCCTGCGGTCCATCCTCATGCTGAGATCCTGTATTTGTTCATAAGCTTCGCCGATCCCCTTCGGGGCCCTTCCCCAGACTGTCTTGTCTTTACTTCTTCCTGACTGTCGGGTTCTCACCTTCAAGGGATTTCTGGATTGTTTTTCTACCTCGAGCTGACCTGGCTCTCTTCTACTCTTTCTTCTCTACTTATTTCCCTGGCTACTGCCCTCAGGAAACTATTTTGCTTTGCGCCTCTCCATCATCCTCGAAGCTTGTCCTACACTTGCATTCTGCGCCTTCCGTTCCTCTATACATTTTGCGCGGATCAATTCATCTGCTCCTCCCATCCTCCTCCTTGTTGATCATCCTCGCGAATCTTTTTTTCTCTCTCCCACCCCCTTCCATTCTTCTGCTCCTCCCCACCTTCTATCATTCCAGTTCACCCGCGCAATTCCCTTCTTGACCTTTCGCGGGGAAATCCTGTGTTTTGCTTCCTGCATTTTCCCAGGGATATCTTTGCGCCGTGATCTCGTGCCCCCAACGTCGACCACGTCTTTAAATTATCTTTCTTGTCTCACTTCTTTTTTTAAATTCAAATCCACGCGATAAACCAACTATCCTCCATGACGATGGTCATTGAGAACCAGAACCGCCAATACGGCGGGATGGGCTTCGATAACGTGTATCAACACAACATGCACCACAGCGCTCCGCAGTTCACCGACCCATGGACCGCTCAAACTTCGTCCCATTCCACTCCCCCGGTCTACGCGACTTCCATGGGACCCAGCCAGATTGGCCTCAGCCATGTTAAGCAGGAGGAAGTGAGCCGCCCACCGATGTCTATGCCATACTCGAGTATTCCCGTTTCCGCTCCCTCGATGGTCGCCGGGAGCAACTATCCTACTGCTACTGCTTCGAGTTACCCCGGTCCGGAGATGATGGGTTTGTCGCACGACATGCCGCGCACTTCTTTCGATCAAGCTCCGGCCTATACCACCGCCTCGCCCATGACCAGCTTCGCGCCTGCGAGCTACGCCCCGCTTAGCTACGCTCCGTCTATGCACCACCACCAGGACCGTCGGATATCTCATGCGTAAGTTTACCTCATCATCTGAAGCTTTCTGCGGTGTGTATATGGAGGGAAATATGCTTACATTCATTTTTTCATCTTGTGTAGTGATGCTCGTGTCGGTCAATCGCAACCCCCTTCCGCCCCAACATTCGGAGATGCTCTTGATGCCAGCCGCGGAATGGTCGCGCTCAGCCAGGATATGACACCTCGCAATATCTACGGCCCTCGCAGCTCGCGAGGCTCGGGTGACTCCTACGGTTTCCCCTCGACACACTCTTCTGGATCGTCGATCTCTTCCGGCGGAAACTACCCCTACTATTCCGCCTCTGTCGCATCTGTGGAGTCCTCTGTGACTGACTACAGCTCTACTACCTCGGAATCTTACGAGAACGGCCACCTGTCGCGGACGCTGCCTCGCCCGTCGAACCTGTTGACGGGAAGTGCGCCTCCGGGACCCCAGTCGATGATGAGCCAGTTTAGCTCCAAGATGCCGTCCAACACCCAGAAGAAGCACAAGTGCAAGGTGTGCGACAAGCGGTTTACCCGCCCGTCGTCTCTTCAGACCCATATGTACAGTCACACTGGTGAAAAACGTAAGTTCCAGAACAAGTCTCTTTTAGTAGTGGTCTGTGATACTAATAGTCGGGAATCTAGCATTCGCATGTGACGTGGAAGGCTGTGGCCGTCATTTCTCGGTCGTCTCTAACCTGCGGCGGCACAAGAAGGTCCACAAAGGAGAAAAGGAAGGTGCTTCGGGCGAAGACGAAGAGTAAATCAAGCCACTCTTCATTTCAGTCTCGAATGCCTCCCCCTTAACGCCACCTTAACGGGGCGGAGGAACAGCGGACTACGATCCTGAGACGCATCGCAACACATTGTGCGACGTCTCACTCCTGAATCGGGTTCGGTATTTTGTACAACAGCTTCGATTCCTCTTCTACTACTTTTCTTCCTCTTTCCGTCTCGGCCAGTGTGGCAGAGAAACGATACCCCATTTCCTTTGTTTCCTTTGTTTTCTTTTTTCACAGATTCCCCTGGACAGGCAAGACACGGTACAACGGCTCGGAGGGTTGCTAGTGATGTCTTTATTACCCAAGTTTATGACCATAGAGGTACCGGTTGTTTTGCTGGTTGGTGATTTGGTTTTTCCTTTTTGGTTTTGATTACCCATTTCCTTCTTATCTCTCGCTAGACTAGGGAGTTGGTCCGATGTTGTTTGATTTCCTTTTCTGTTCGGCATGGCTTTTTCTGCTCAGATACCAGCTGGGGTTTGGTTCTTGATGATTCACTTCTTTTTCCTGCGTTTCCGTGACACGATTACAAATCGGAATTATACGCAGCAGGCCTTTTTTTTTTTCTCATGTCCTTTTTCTTCCACGATCTAGAATATTTCCTTTCTTCTCTCCCCCCTTTTTTTCCTTGTGTTTGTTTCCATCCGGTTACTTGACCTTTTCCTTGCGGTGCCGCAGATGATTTGTTATCGGGAATTAGCATGGGCCGTTGATCTGAGTTGGGTTTGATTTTCTGCTGGGATAAATTGCTATAAGGAGGTGCACTCGCGTTGGCGAGTGCAGGGCTGATACCCGTTGCAATTGGGCGGAGCATGGGCTGGGAAATGCAGGCTGATTTGTTTGCCACGGTTAAACTTGTTTGGAGCATACAAGACACCCACGGTGTCACCACGGTCGCTACTATATACCTTATTGTCTAATCAAGATGCTTGAAATGCACCCCCCGGGTTCCTTGTAGACTGACGCTATCGTTATCTCTGTACTTTTTTTCTTCTTCTTTCGAATCAGTCTTCAATGCTCAGTGACAGTGATTCCTGGACCGCACGCGCCCGACCTGTACAGCCTTCACGGGGGATGGATCCATCTACGTTGCCCTAGAAGTACGAAATCCTTCTCCGTGCAGCAGGTAAGCTAAGACCCTTGCTTGCCTGCCTGCTTGCGTCCATCCATCGGCGTACCTTCTTCCCTGGGACTTGAGGGAGCTGAACCGGAAGCTAAAGCATCTGTGCCTTGGGGGCCCAAGCAAGGGTCACCCCCGACTTTCTCCGCATCGTCCGAATGTCTGTCTGTCAATTCTCGGATATTCCGAACGGACGATTGTCGGTATCTGTCTCTATTTCCATATTGCTGTTGGTCTATTACAAGTCAACTACGTTTCTCGATGATGGACCTGTGATGCCGACAAGATCACACCAAAGCAATTGCCGCTGCTCTCGAGTCAGACGTCGCGCGCACACACACACACACACTTATTCCGATGTGTTTTGTGTCGACGCTGCGATACCGGGATTATCTTTATCCCGCTAGTAAATTCGTGATGGAACAGTTGAGCGAGCAGCCTTAGTTGGATATGTATAATATGTATATTCTCCGATATGTGCCAGGGGAAAGTTGATCTTGACGGGTTTAATGGTGGTGTAACAAGTCGCTCGCCGGGCCGGGTTATTAGAGAAGTGGTCTCGTTAGAGATGTCTCAGAGGATTCTGCATAACCTGCAGGATTTATTAACTATTCCATATTCATGCTCAGCTCAATATCAAAGGTATCTTGCCATATTCGTTTATAATCGTCAGCAAGAACTCGCAGCATACAGCCATACGGCAGGTCGCCGTCCCGGTGGTATAGTTCGGTGTTGTGGCATCATACCGTTCCGTCATCGTGTTGAAGCGTGCCTTGATTGCGTCTTATTCTACGCTGCATCTATAAATGTGAACAGACAGTACACCGGGGGTGTGCATCTCCAGGAGGACTTGCAGTCTAGTCATGTTGACCTGCTCCTCATCTCTATGGATACAGACAGGTTCTGATAGGTTCTCTTTGCCCTAATACAGTCGGGGAGAGCCAATAATACACATGAATTGCAGACGAGAAGCTCCGCTGCGAGGATGCCAGTTATATCTAAATTCGGCAGAATTGTCATGAAGCTTACCAACCGCCCCTCTAGCACTGCGTCTTTATTATCTAGAGATTGAGTCTCATACTCACAAATATAGATAGAGAGCCTGTATATTCGACACGCGACAGCTTTTGCATGGACTTGCTGTCCTACCGTGACAGTTAGTTGCGCTACGCTCCGAATTTTTATACGAGATAAAGCTGACGGTGAAGCGCAGCTGTCAATTCTGATCTTTGTGCGAGCTAGCTCTGCTGCCATATTTCTCATGTCGCGATTACTGGCGTGAATTGTTCATGACCTTGATGGATCTATATCAGAATATGATTGTGGTATGACTATTTGGGGCTGTTTATTTACAACTAGTATCTGAATCCCGAATTCACACCCATCAGCCGTCCCTGGTATCTCTCTATCACCTCTCCCAGCTTTACCATGACTCCTGCGGCTAATGTCCGCACCTGTTCTCGTGGATCACTTGTGTCTTGGACCGGTGGCGTCCGATCGAATATCTCTCCTACCCACTCTCGTAGCTCCATGACCTGCGTGGCGTATTCGGTGACCAGGCGCTCTTCTCCAGATGTTCCGGAGGCGATGTTCAGATCTACAGCTGCGAGGAAGAGAGATAGAAGCGAGGACAAGATGCCTGGATCGTCTGATATGGGGCGTGCGTGGAGCGAGAGCAGGAATGCCAATGTCTCGTGCGTGACGGCTGCTAGATAGGGCGTGTGGGGGCCCATTGTTGAGAGGATGAGAGTGAGAGTTTGAATGAAGAGACCGAGGAGATGCGGAGCGTAGAAGGGATTGTAGGAGGGAGCGGTGGAACTGGTTTATTAGTGATGATGGCTTGGCGAAAGATTTGGAGGGAGGAAAAACTTACGACGAAAATTGCATGATCATCATTTCGAAACGACCCTTCAGAGGATAGAAGAACCCATCTGCAAGGACCCTGTAAAGATCTTTTGCGGTGGACTTCTGTCTCTGTGCCTCACGTTGCTGACGTTTCTTTTCGACTTCCATTCGTGAGGAGAATGTGCGGACCTTCAGTGCATTGGGCCCTGATAGCGAGTCTGAGGCCTGGGCAGCCAATGGTTCGAGCGAGGCGCGTGATAACTGCTTGGTTAGGCTTGCGATGGGCGATTCAGTCTCTGGCTGATACAAGGCTTCGAGGGAGCCAGGGAGCTTCTTGGACGGGAACGAAGCGTCGGATACGCTTGGTAGACCCAGTGCTTTAGCGTCTGCTTCGCCATTTCCGCCGAGTTCGCGAGCACCCAGGCCTAGGGCTGTGAGGATTGTAGAGCGCTGTGGTTGAGATAGGTCTCCATCGAAGAATATGGCCGAGAACCAGTGGCCCATCTTAAGAGGTTGAGATACGATCAGTGCGATCATACTTTGAAGTTGAATTTCCTGGAATTTGGAAATCTTTCCATGCTCCTGTAAGCCCACGACGACAAGTGCCAATTCTTCAATATTCTCAGCAAGCTCTGTTCCAAAGCCAGTCTTGCGGCGGATCAGGGTAGGGGCGGTAGCAACAGCCAATTCGTAGCGCTCTACATTCTCAGTGTCGCGTAGGTAGGTTATCAGGTCGCGGATATACCTAACTCATGTTAGTGATCATATGATTACGGCTAGTGTTGTGACATACACTGGTGCGGTAGGTTTGTTGCGTTGAACCAATGTTGGGTCATCATCAGAATCTGAGGGATCTTCATCGGGCTTTTCATATGGGACGAGATCTTCGTCCTCGTCGTCATCATGATCCGAGTCATTGATCTCTTCTATGGCGACAATCTTTGCTCTTCTGGTGTCTTTCTTTGGCGTATCGGTCCCAGATGTTCGATTCTTGCTACGCTTCTCGGTTGGTCTTGTCGCAGGCCCTCTAAGCGTTTCCATGGATTCAATAGACCCAACGGTATCGTGTAGTTTGGCAAGGTCCAAGTACCAATGTGCCTCATCGCTCTCCATCTCCTCGAGATCAAACCTCATCCCTTTGCCCTGTTGCTCGATGAGCTGCGAAATTGTAGTTCCAATCAGCATACCGAGGAACCGAGCTCTGGGTGAAGATGCCGCCAGGCGGTTTGAGACAGTGTTCAGAAAGATTCCAGTGCGACCAATAAACATCATTGCTGCAGGATCAAGTCGTTGGAGGTATCCCGCAGCGAGAAGAACAACTTGGGCATTGGCTGAGAGTGGTCAGTGCCTACCTCCTATATGTAATGCATGGATATAGTACCTTCTTGACACCTAATGGGAGCGTGTTGAATGTAGAACTTGTCGCCTGATTGATCTAGACTCTTACTAAGAAGAGTATTGATCGAGTCTAATGCGATCCGTGTCAGCAGGAAAACATTGTTAAACAGGCTTAGTCCCACCTTCTTGCTGTGCCAGTATAGCCACTAGAGCACGACGCAGCCCCAATGAATGTATCGAACCACCTTGGCCTTTTGAGAGCCAGTCCACAATCTGACCTTGCAAATCTAACCGTTTTGACACGGCATTTGAGCAGAGAGCCGCTACACTACTAACCACTTGTCCCGAGGTGTTGTTGGCACTGTCACCAGGTATTTCACCTGAAAAGTGCCTCTTCTCGAGATCTCGAAAGACAGCTTCGAGCAGTGCTAGCTGCTCCGTTGGCCGGAGACGGTCAAAAAGCGAGCTGTACTGTTCAGAAAGTGCTCGCTGAACAAGAAGTCCAGTATATATTTCTTTGACCACCTGATCTGCATCATTATGCTTAGCCTACCAAGCCTATCAGCGGAGGCGTCCTTAAATACCTGTATAGCCCAAGCTTAGCGACCTCCCAGTCAAAAGAGCCACAGCTTTCCATGCCTCTTCATCACCGAGAGCAGTCTTCGAAGACATATAGAAGATGTTGGAACCTAGCCAGGTGGCGTACTTTGAGCCTTCCCCAATCCATGAGATTGCGGAAAGCCCGTCAAGCCCAGATATCAGAGTAAGCGCTTCCGCCGCCGTAGACAAAACTTTACTGGCAGCAAGTATTGAGAGCAATTCCCTCCAAGCCACTTGCTTCTGTGTCGCATTGCTGTACAAATCATCCATGTCAGTGTATAGGCGAAACGCAAAGTCACTCGGCTCCAACAAGGCGGAAATAACCGCAAGTGTATCTCTAATCTGTATCTTATGACCGGATGATTTCGCGTGCTCAGCCGATGAACGGGACGCAGCTATGAGAGAACGGAGCTGGGTCACCAGGCAACTGATTCCCGCAACACTGCTGAGACATCTCAGAAGAGCAGCTCGTAGCTTCGTATTACCTGATTTTGGACTTTGAGAGTGTGGCCCAAGAGCCCCCCAATGATCCGGAACTGTAATGCTAACCAGAACATTGAGAATTTGCGCTGTTACTGGGCGCGGGACCCGTATATCAAAACCGTTGGGGGATGCTGTCTTATTTGATGGATCTAGTATGGCTAGAACCTGAGCGAGTTCGTGCTCGTCGGGTTTTGCCTTCAAAACGGCCAAGATATGGTCTGAGGATGTTGCGTCCCCGGGGAGATCGGCTTTGGACCGGTGCTCAGAGCCGTTGGATGTGGTGGCTGAATATATTCCCTCGGCAGCAGCCGACAAGACGGGCTGCTGGCTGTGCTTGACCGTCTTAACGGCCGTAAGTAGACCATCCATTTTACAAATGTGGCATTATCCTCGTAACAGTTGCGAAGAAAGGAGGATCAAGTTGTGGAAGTTGGAGGAAATTGTATGGCGCGGAGGGGTCACGTGGGGCGGTTGCTGTATCGATCTAACGACCATTGGAGCTCACCATCCTCATCATCCCATCATCACCTCCACACTGTCTACAACTTGAAATCTCGAAATCTATAGCAACGTAGCTCTTGGCTCTAGAGCTAGAATTTTGCTTACATCTCCGACACCAGATTGTCTAAACTGGCGCAGGAGCTCATAATAAGTGCAGCTCGGAGGCAAGAGACACTTGCTTATGCAACAAGAGCTTGAGTAGAGGCAAATAACTAGCGACCTAGCTAACCTAGACAACATAATCGGAAAATGGCAGCTACAGGTGCGCCTCAGCGATGGTGAGACGGTTTCTTCACCCTATAGCGGCAGCTGCTCATATCACCAGGAAACATCTATACAGCGTCCTGACTAAGTCTGGACCCTTCAGCGATGAAGATTGGGTCCCTGGGCAAGAGACGATAAGTGCTTTAGAGTCATCGAAAATTTTGTGCGTTTCTACGACCGTGATAATGCCGTCATGCTCGCTAACAGAACTACAGAGTCATGTTAGTCAAGGCGATTCTTACTCCCTTAAAGGTTCAATAGATAATAACCAAGCACTGCTTACAGAGGAGCTGGAGGTCTAGGATGTGAGATACTCAAGAACCTGGCATTATCAGGTTTCAAAGACATTCACGTCATTGACATGGGTAGGTCCTTCCTAACTCGCAAACACAACAAATGACTAACACAGGCAGATACCATCGATATTTCCAACCTAAACAGACAATTTCTATTTCGCCAGTCAGACATAGGCAAGCCCAAAGCTGAGGTTGCTGCTGCCTTTGTAGAAAGACGAGTCAAGGGAGTTAAGATCACTCCCTATGTAGGAAAGATTCAGGACAAAGACGAAGATTACTACATGCAATTCAAGATCATCGTCTGTGGTCTTGATAGCATCGAAGCCAGACGATGGATTAACTCGACCCTGGTCGGAATGGTCGATTTCGAGGATCCAGAAAGTCTGAAGCCGCTCATCGATGGCGGAACAGAAGGTATATTTGCTCACTCATGCTGGAGGGGAAATAAACACATCTAACCGATAACAGGATTCAAGGGACAGGCGCGTGTAATTCTACCCACGCTTTCCTCTTGTATCGAGTGTCAGCTTGACATGCACGCGCCGCGACCGGCCGTCCCTCTTTGTACTATCGCAACCATTCCGCGCCAGCCTCAACACTGCATCGAATGGGCTCATCAGATCGCCTGGCAGGAACAGCGCAAAGATGACGCATTCGACAGTGACGACATGGAGCACATTGGCTGGGTCTACAATGCTGCTCTGGAGCGGGCGAAGCAGTTTAATATCCCCGGCGTCACTTTCCAGATGACTCAGGGAGTCGTCAAAAACATTATTCCAGCTATTGCCTCAACCAATGCCGTGATCGCAGCCGCGACTACCTCCGAGGCATTGAAGATTGCCACATCGTGCAACCCTTACCTTGAGAACTATATGATGTATGCGGGCGAAGAGGGCGTGTACACTTACACCTTCGAGGCGGAGAAGAAGCCAGACTGCCCGGTGTGCGGAAATCTGGCACGCAAATTGACTGTGAACCCGAATATGACGCTCGAAGAATTCATCGAAACCCTTGGAGAACGGCCCGAGGCTCAGCTGAAGAAGCCTAGTATGAGGACGGAGGAGAAGACACTCTACCAACGGTTCCCGCCGCAGTTGGAGGAACAGACTCGCGCTAATCTGAAGCTCAAGCTGAAAGACCTGATCGAAGACGGTCAGGAAATCGCAGTCAGTGACCCGGCGTATATCATCGACTTCCGCTTCCGACTGGCGTTTCAATAGACAGAGGGCCCCTGAGATGGACCTGCAACTACACGTTACGAAGAATCGCTGATGCTCTGATGATCATGTTCAAGACCTAGGAAGTCAAATCTGCTTTTTCTATCACAAAAAGATCCCAGTCCAGACTCCCAACAAGTGTAAAGAAGGTTGTCACCAACTTTTCGTAAAATGTACAAAATCAACAAGACAATCCAACGCCAGGCCAATGCATTATATAGCTTTGAATCATTTTTCACGGAAGGCTGAGTCAAATGGCTTTGACTTAGCGCATAAGGTCCGTCAAGCCGCGCTTCCATCTTGCGCATTTCAGCTTCAGCACCTTGACGCTCTCCAGGAAGAGGGTGTCGCTTTCGAATTGGCCAACACTCTCGATGTTGAAGATGAAGTGGTCGCGGACGCGACCGAGCTTGACCTTGCCCTGGAACTCCTCGTGTCTCAGACACTCTCTGCTGACGGTATCCTTGAAGGGATCCACAACAACTGCCTTCAATTCGCCCTCGTGGCCCTCATATCCGCTGTCCTTCTGCTTGGCCTCCTCACGAGTGACCTTCTCGAGGCCAATGACACCGCTGGGGAAGCACTTGGCAAACTTCTTGGCATCATCACCGATGATGGGGCGGAGGATCTTGATGTCGGGTAGTAGACGGTAGGTGGCCGTGGCGACAGGGGAGAACTTGGCATGGTCGGCACCGATACCCTTGATACAGTGAAGTTCCATTTCAATCGCCTGACCGGGACGAAGCTTGGCGACCAGGATGTCCGGGTTGACGGGCTGAATTGCGTCATCGCCAGCAAAGAACTGTTCCTGGCGACCGACGGGGTGGAATGTGATATCTTTGGCGTAGACGTGCGCATTCTTGTAGAGTTTGCGGGGGTCAGTCTCCTCGGGATCCGCGTTGGGGTTCTTGGTACATTCGACGTCCAAGCGCAAGACGATGGTGTTGTAATCGGCGGGACTGCTGCCATTGGGATCGTCGTCGGTAGGCTTCTTGAACCAGCGCATCCAGTTGATGCCCTCCACGGAACCCTTGAGGGGAATCAGACCCAGACGTTGTGCGAGAACCTCATCCTGAATGACAGAGGTGTTGTTGTGGACGAAGACGTATTCGATGGCGATGCTGGGCACCTCAGCCATGAGAATGCGACGGAAGGCATTGGCAATGGAGGCGTCGACTCCGATGAGAGAGAAGGAGGATTCGAATCGCTCGTTGCGGTGGAAGTCGATCTTGAGATCCTGTTCGCGAAAAAAAAAGATGTGTGAGCGTAAAGCTGATGAAGCTTGACTGGGAGGAGGGGCAATTGAGCGCGGACACTTGAGTACTACCAACGTACATTCTTGAACTTTGCGAGGGACCATTCGTGCGACTCGCCGGGCCAGTGACCAGGAAAATCTGTGGAGGGGATGTTGGAGACGGTCTCTGGGTTGATGTCGACGATCTGGAAGTCAATGCAGTCAGTATGATGAAGGACGTAAGAGAGAGAGAAGAAGCCACGGTCGGAAGAGGGAACATACCCTTCTGCGATCAAGCTCCTCCTGCGAGGGAACGAGAGGCGCCATGATGGACGAGAATGTATATGCCGCGGGGAAAATTGGAGGAGAAAGAGGGACAGACGAAGTGGAGGGAGCAACTGCGAAAAGTTCTTTGGCGGAAGCGGCAGTATTTTCTTGAAATTCTGCAGGCCGCAAAGGCGGAAAGATGGTTGATTATAACACACCCAGCAGTTAAGGGGGAATCGGCACTAGTGGCGGGAGTTATAGAGGGCCAACGGCAGACCAACCAGAGACGGGCTGATGACCATAAGCTCCTCTCACGTGACCGCCCAAATTGTATCTCGCCTGGAAAGCGCAACCTCATCCAACGAGGAGCAAGCGTCAGTCCGCATCGCTTCCAATCCCCGCCAATTCCCCCTCCTTCCAACCCAATTGCGTCTGGATTGAGGGCTCCCCGCCTCACTTCACCCTCATCCTCACTCCCCGCTCTCCCGAATGGCTGCTTCCTTCACTCGCCTGGCGGGCAGCGCGCCCAAAAGGCTCTGCCTCCGCCCGTCGAGCTTCTCCAGAAACACTGCTATCCCCAGATCCCGGACGATTTCGACGTCGCTGCCTCGCCGGTACGCAGAGCCCACCAGCTACCAGGCCACCCGTCTCATCCCGGCCGACCCGACCTTCACATCTCTGGCCAACAAGGAGGGCCCTTCGGAGGCTGATGTGGGCGCCGCCCTCGAGTCCGAGGACTCTGGAGCCGGCCGCAAGATCCGCCATTACACTGTCAACTTCGGTCCCCAGCATCCTGCTGCTCACGGTGTGTTGCGTTTGATTCTGGAGCTCAATGGTGAAGAGATCGTCCGCGCCGATCCCCACGTCGGTCTGCTTCACCGTGGTACCGAGAAGTTGATTGAATACAAGTCCTACATGCAAGCCCTGCCATACTTCGACCGATTGGATTACGTCTCCATGATGACCAACGAGCAGTGCTTCTCCCTGGCTGTTGAGAAGCTGCTGAACATTGAGATCCCTGAGAGAGCCAAGTACATCCGGACACTGTTCGGTGAGATGACACGCATTCTGAACCACCTCATGTCCGTCCTTTCCCACGCGATGGATGTTGGTGCTCTGACTCCTTTCCTGTGGGGTTTCGAGGAGCGTGAGAAGCTCATGGTAGGTGTTTTCTGGCATGCTGAGCTGTATGCTAGCCGCAATGACTGACACGAGTCCTCTCAATTAGGAATTCTACGAGCGTGTCTCCGGTGCCCGTCTCCACGCTGCCTACGTCCGCCCTGGTGGTGTGTCTCAAGATCTGCCCCTTGGTCTCCTCGACGATATCTACCAGTGGGCCACTCAGTTCGGTGACCGCATTGACGAGACCGAGGAACTGCTCACGGATAACCGTATCTGGAAGGCCAGAACCCAGGGTGTTGGTGTCGTCAAGGCTGCCGATGCTCTCAACATGAGTTTCACTGGTGTCATGCTGCGTGGTTCCGGTGTCCCCTGGGATATCCGTAAGTCCCAGCCTTACGATGCCTACGACCAGGTTGAGTTCGACGTGCCCGTCGGTGTCAACGGTGACTGCTACGACCGTTATCTCTGCCGTATGGAGGAATTCCGCCAGTCCCTCCGCATTATCCACCAGTGCCTGAACCAGATGCCCGCTGGTCCTGTCCGCGTTGAGGACTACAAGATCTCTCCTCCTCCCCGTGCGGCCATGAAGGAGAACATGGAGGCCCTGATCCACCACTTCCTTCTGTTCACCAAGGGTTACGCCGTTCCTCCGGGTGAGACCTACTCCGCCATTGAGGCTCCCAAGGGTGAGATGGGTGTGTTCCTGGTCAGTGACGGTAGCGAGAGACCCTACCGCTGCAAGATCCGTGCTCCTGGATTTGCTCACTTGGGTGGTTTCGACCAAGTGTCTCGTGGCCACCTTCTGGCCGATGCTGTCGCTATTATCGGTAAGCTATACCCAGACTGCCCCTTTTCGCACTAACTGCAAGCTAACACATCTTTTCAGGAACAATGGATCTTGTGTTCGGTGAGGTTGACCGGTAGAAAAGGATGGGACCGTCTGATTCCAACGAAGACCTGTATAACAGCTCAAGACACATGACCCTGATTTATTGGTGCCAAAATCTCGATTAGAAGTTGCAGATATACCAAGAGAAAGATTAATTGTCTCTATTATTACCATCATTCGGCTTGTGCGAGTTGTGTAACAGGTCCCCTTGGCTATGGCGATCTCCAAAACCAGGTCCAGCCTGCTGTACCAATGTCCTTTGCTTGCTTTTTTCATGGCGTTGACTTTTTCCTTTGTCTGTGTCGCTGATGCTACTTCCGTCGACTGTGTCTGTCCGTCCCCTTTCTTTTTCTCCTTGTTCTCTTCCATAAACCCTGTGTATAGTGATCAAAACATCGACTACGATTTGGATTAGATTGGAGTAGTAGTAGCAGCAGCAGCAGTAGTAGTAGTAGTTTGTGGAAAGTGAATTGTGTCTTGTGAACGTATTTAAATTTGACTGTTACAATTTTTTTTGTTTTTATTCCTAGTAGTTAAAAAGATATGTATCAGAGTACCAATGCGATATATGTGTATATATGCGTAAATATGTATGTAAGACAGGAGATTTAGTAGTAATTGCGTAGACATAAAAGTGAGAAAGAGTTCACAAGAAAAAAAAACCCATGCGTAAACGCATGAAATGCATGATACCAACGCTCCGTCCGGATTCCAGTGAACTCCGTAACCTTGATAAGAATCAAGCAAGCAAGTAAGCAAGCAAGTAGAAAGTGAGACAAAAGAGGAACTTTGAGTAATATGTAAGATGAGAAAAGGAAAATAAGCAAAAGGTTCACGCGCCAATATTAATGCAACCATCACCACTACCAATTTCCAATAAAATTAGGAAGCACCCCCCTCCACGAGTAAAACTATACATTATCATCGTCGTAATGGAAATTAATATCCCTCGGTCTCCTCCGATTATACGACACAAATTCACTATCACCGGGAGGCCGCTCATTGCGCGAATTGGCCGTCAACATGCTCTGAATACTCATGCAGACGCTCTCGACCGTCTGCACGGGCGACCAGCCTGCCGAGCTGAGGAGATCGAGACATATTATGCCGTTGCTGTAGATGTGTGGGTGGACGGGGATCGGACGGGGGTGGTCGGAGGTGGGTGGGCATTCGATGAATTGGACTTCGGGGGGTTCTATTGAAACGAATAAGATGAATCTTGTTAGTTCATTTTCTTCTTTGTACAACAAGTTAAAACGAATGTGGCTGGTGGTTGTGAGGGGTAAATTACCGATAGGGTATTTGTTGCTAAAGGTGAATTTGAGCCGGTAGGTCTCGTTCTGGTAAAGCGGATTGGAATCGAGGACTTTAATGTCCATTTGCCATTCCTCGAGGTTTTCGGACTTGACGATTGTGATCCCGGGCGGAAGGTGGTCTTTCATCTGTGGAGGGGGATTGTGTTAGTTGTGTGTTAGGGGTCTGTGTAGGTGTGGCGCATTGAAGTGTAGATCGTGGTTGTGATCGATCTGGTAGGGTGAATGTTGCAGGTAACAGGGAGGAATGGGTACCTTTAAGAGCTCCTGTATGTAAATCTGGGTTAGTTGCATTGGTCGAGATGGTGAGCGGGGTGGTGAGTGGCATGATGGCTTACCTTGCTCAGGCGCTTGCCGGCGAACATGGTGGGCAGAGCGCCTCTTCGAGGCGAAAGTGACAGCTTCGTTGATCGGAGACTGTTCAGGGAAGATCTGGTGGGTGATAGTCGGCCAGCCTCGTCGGGAGAGGAATTGTCAGATCGTAGAGGCGCACAGATGTATGACGTCTACAACTTAGGGCGGGGCGATCGACAAGACGACGGATGAGTTCTTGAACGGGGCGAGCTCAGTGAAGGATTGAGAGTAACAGTGCAAAGAGATCTAGTAAAGGTGAATGCCCGAGAGAGATCCGAATGCAGAGAGACCGAAGAGGGGAAGGTGAAGAAGAGGGGCCAAGTAGTTACTTAAAAGAGGGCCGCGAGGGTATCTCCGGGCGATCATCTGCTGGCGGTGGCTGACGGGGCCGCACCCCATCACCTGATTGGTCCGGGCCGATCACGCTGGGGGTAGTCCCCACGTGATATTCCAGCATCTGATTTGGTCATGATCAGACTGGATCTACAGTTTGCAAGGCAATTTACAACGACGCTGGTCATCTACATGGGGAGCATAGTGGAAGATGATGCCTAGCCGAATATGAATTCAGACCATAGAAAGGAAATATTATCTCCGTTAAGTCAAAGCCTCCATTAAAGTCCCATCTCATTTAGCAAACCAAGGAACAGACAAAAAGAACACGCCAGATCAGTATATGGACGGGGAATCATCGAAAGTTATTCACAGAAAACAGTTCAGTGATGGTCCGTGACCCAACAAGAATGGACCCGGTGCAGCAGCAGAAAGCAAGTCTCTATCAACGCCATCCGATCAAGCCTCATGCATGGGCGGTCCGCTCGCGGGCTTCACGCTCGACCTTCTCGCGCTCCTCGGTCTCCTTCACCTCACGGACCTTGGCGAGCACAACTTCACGGAAGATGGCACCGCGGGCAATCTTGCTCAGACTGCGCTTCTTTGTGCCAGTAGCCTCGCCCTCAGCTGGCGCGGAATCCGATTTGCCATTGGGCGAGAGTTGAGAGAAGGGCGTCGTGCCAGAAGCCTTCTCTGCCATTTCCACCGGGCTAGGGATGTCCTCATCATCCTCCTGCATCTTGAGCGCCTCAATGCGGTTCGCCAGCTTGATGATCTCGATACCTCTGCGCAGACGAGAGCGAGCAATGTAGGCACGGATCTCGGGCAGCAAGTCGCGGTCGCTGGCCGACTCACCGGTCAACCAGGTGTGCTTCAAGGCTTCTTCGGAGGTGACACGCTTGGCAGGATCCGGCTGCAACAGCGTGAGGATGAAGTCCTTGGCGTCCTGCGAAACATCGCGCCAGTAGCGCTCGTGGAAGATGATCTTTCCGCTTCGGCACTCTTCAATCAGATCGGACAGGTTCTCGGAACGGAAGGGAGAGTATCCGCAAAGCAGGGTGTAGGTGATAACACCGAGGGACCACATGTCGACGGCCTTGCCGTGACCTTGCTTAAGCATAACCTCTGGGGCGGCGTAGCCGAAGGAGCCCGCCATGCTGGTCAGAACCTCGCTGGGGCTATCCAACATCTTGGCAATACCGAAATCTGCGAGGACCAGAGGAGAATGGGGGTCGGGACCGAGGTAGAGAAGGTTTTCGGGTTTCAAGTCTAGGTAAAGCGGATGCCAAAATTACTTCCAGTCCTTGAAGGCGAACAAGTGACGATAGTTTGGACATACCTCGATGAACGATATTCCGTTCGTGCAGGTAATGGACGGCGCCCAGCACCTGGCGAATCGTCTGAGAGGCATCCTTTTCGGTGAACTTGCCATACTCGCAAATGCGGTCGAACAGCTCACCACCAGTGGCCAGCTGTGTGACAATGTAGAATTTATCCTGCCACCACATTAGATAGGGGAGCGTCTAGAGTAGCTTTGATGCAACCCACCTTCGATTCGAACCAATCGACGAAATGAACAATGTTGGGATGGTCGAGAGCTTGAAGCATCTCTAGTTCATCATAGACCATGCGTTCGTTGCCCCGGACATTCTTCTTCAGGATGATCTTGATGGCGACCTTTCCCTTGCTGCTGTCGGCTTCACGAACGATACCGTACGTACCAGCGCCGAGTGTGCGTCCGAACTTGTAGTGGGACCTGGAACGGGTTGCACAGCGGTTATTATATGTATGCAAAGGTAAGGGGAAGCGAGAAGGGTCCTATCGTACTTTTTCTCGTAGCTTTCGGGCTGTCCCGACAGCTTGTTGAGCATATTATGGACTGTGAAATCACCCATTGGTCAGCGCTTGGACGTTGCAGGTATAAAGAGAAGTAGTATAGCCGCTCGATAAAACCACAAGAGAGGGGGGAACGAGTGAAAGCAGGGCCAGTAGTGATGGGACGATCGAACCGAAGAGCCAGAACAGGATGAGAATGCCACCTGCATGGACGCAATGGCCCCAGGTGATGGTGGAAATAAGAGACAAAGACATGATTCATGAAGGACATGAGGCTGCCGTGCGGGCGCAGTAGGACAGAAACCAATCAATGGCTGTCAATGGCAAGCTGGGCTAACGAAAGTGTATGCCATCGTGGGGATAAACGAATGGCTGATCGGCGAGACGAAGAGAAAAGAGAAGGGAAGCGAAGAAAAGCAAAGACCTACAACTCATGGTGACTGGAGCAGAAGGGCCTTAGTGAAGGCCCTAAAGGGGGAGTTTATCCGTGAGTAGTGTGCGGTGGGCTCGAGGCCAGCGAGCGCGAAGCTGAATGGGAACCCCGCACGTGAGGGAGGTTGGTAGCGGGGCGATTCAAGAGACAAGATCGCGCAAGTCGCGTTGGAGGGATGGAGGATGAAGGTCAAAAACAGAAATCTGGGGGGGAGGAAGAAGAAGTAAGTATTTGGTGGGATTAAGTTCCGTACACGAGCAACGACAGTGTCCGTGTGGAGGGAGGAGGGGGGGAAGCTGATTGATGGTGGGTAAATCCATCCATCCATCCATCGATAGGGGGTTCAAAAAAAGAGACTAACTGGGTAAACACACGGTACCTGATCGGGGGGGGCGCTGCTTATCGCTGTGCTGATGGCTGCACGTGCAAGACACAGACAGGCAAGGCAAATGCAATGCGGTGTTGTGTCGGTCGGGAAGGGAAAAGGAAGGAGGCTAAACCAGTTGATAGACAGCTGAAACTGACCAGAAGAGAAGAAAGGAAATAAGGAATAGCGAACCGAGCGATTAAATCTGGAAAGGAGGGGGAACGAGAGCGAGAAAAAGGTCGAGTTCTGGCCCGGCGATAGAGTTTAACCCAGTAACCCATTGATTCATGGCTGCCCAGCACAGCCACGGGGGGGTTTTCCTCAGCGGGGCTCAATCTCGCGGAAATCCTATCTATAGGGATTGGATGGTGGAGGAGATGATGGAGCGGCCACGCAAGGCTGATGCTCCTCCAGGCAGCGCATTTTAGTAGGCTGATCCATGGATGCAGTTAGTCCACAATTCGTCTTGTGTTCAATTACTACATAATGCAGGGTAACTTCGAGTCTAGATACCCGTCTGGTATTGACAGATTGTTCACTTCATAGCCTTAAACTGTTTACTGTATATGTCTTTCCAAAGTAATAACCTCACTTCCATGCAAGTCGTGATGATTATGTTCAGGTAGAGTTTTCGCCCTGAAAATGGAGGGAATCTAGAAAAAAGCGGCTTAGGGTGAAACGGGCCCCCAAGTCTGAAATCGGCCAGCGGGCCAATGCTGACGCCTTCTTCTCCAGGCTGAAACATTGCCGACAGTCAGTCCCTGAAGCTAATTAATTCTGGGCTTTGGCTTGGGCACCAGCCACAGCAGAAGAAAAAAAAAAAAAAAGTCTCACCATGACAGGAAGAAACATAATGAGATCAAATTCATCGCCGTATTCTCTTTCATTTTCCGCTTCGAGTCTTCGAAACTGAGACATATTGGACCCTAGTATAAAAGGGGCTATGCCCGCCAAGTTTCTGATAATTAATTTTGGCCCCCATAGAGGGATGGCGCGGAGATGCAGCCTAAAATCTCATCTGGGATGCTTAGCCGGATTGACGCCGGTTTATTGGATCGCCGTCTGCCCTGACAGGCTGACTGACGGCCTGCTCTCTTCGGATGATTCCTGTCCTTCTCCACTCGGGCTGAATGCAGGTTTGCTAGCCTCGTGGGTATCCAGATAGATTACTTGATTACTTACTCCCTGAGCTTGATTAGGCTGTCTGACTGCGGCTTCATCTTGAAAGAGGCTCAACCAATTCATTGAGCACCTGTATCACCATAAAGAGCACAGTATAACGACGCTAACAGACATCCTACCATAAATCATCACACCAAGTACCCCTCAACCATCATGGCCATCATGCATCAACATCAAGATCTTCCCAAATACAACTCATCCAACACTCGCTCACAATACTCCCGATAATACCCTTCTCCTTTCCATCCACTTTTCTGCCCCCGTATTCCCACCGTCTGCCATCCATCCCTTCGCAATCTCGCAATTCGTTGCTCTTTACTCTCCTTTACCCCAAACGAAGACTTCTCCTTTTCATCACCATCACCATCACCACCAGAAACCTGCTTTTCCTTGACCGGACTAAAACTCCAGAAAGACCCAGACCGCCGCATCCCCTTGGACATGCGCCGTGCATATTGCATCTCAGCCACATCAGTGATCATTTTATGCAGCGTGGTGACACTTGATGTGACCTGGTGACGGAGGAAATCGATTGTTGTATTGATTTGCAGCTTGTCTTCGTATTCTGGTCTTTTGACCGGCTGCATTGTTCGTATACCGAGTTCCTCTTCGTGACCTGTATATTCTGGCGTAGGAGTAGCGGGAGCAGCAATCCTCAACGGCAATGGTAACGGCAAAGCCGGCACCGACACTCCAACTCCTGCTTTAGCTGCATCCATAGCATAATCCTCAACCTCAGAGATGCCCAAAGCACCATTTCCAACCGACTCCCCGGATACCTTCCGCACCTTCAACGGCGAGGGAACAAGACCACGCTCATCCCCATACCCACTATCCTCTTCAGCCCTGTCGAAAAGCGATACCTCACTATATGCCGAAATAGTGGTGTTGGTATAGTCGAAGCTGCTATCACTTTCACCCGAAAACAACATACTCTCCTCGTCCTCACCCCACTCTCTACCACCACCACCACCATCCTCCTCATCACAATCATGATAATGATGAGGATACTCAACAAACGGATCATCCTCATCCTCACACACCAGCACCCCCCCCTCCCCCATCCCAATCATCCTGGACCTCACCCAACAACTCCCCACAAACCCCAAACCACTCCACAGCCGCCTGCAAAAGCGGCAGCTTCTGACCGGAGAACTGATGGGCCGCGAGACCCATTCCTTCGTAGGAAATGGCCATGTAGAATGTGAGATAGGTTTTGTATATCTATACCCCACACAACACAGTTGATCATTTGAATAAACTTGTTAGCGTATATACCCGTAGATAATACATCGTATATAGCGGTCAATAGGAAAGTAGGAGAGAGATAGGATAGAATAGTGATAACTGTACCGGCTGCTCCGTTAGAGACAAACATTCTGCTGCGTGGGCGATACATTGACGGTAGTGGTTGGAGGTATAGAGGTTCTTGATGGTGCGGAAGGTGAGGGGCCAGTTTGCGGTTCCTGTTGTTTTGGTCCTTGTTGTAGTTGTCGGGAGGGAGGTTGGAGATGAAGATGGAGTTGAGGGTGGAGATGATGGGGTGGACATATTTATTGATATATGTATGTCTGTGTAAATGTACGGTCAAAGATTGTTGATTGTCAATTGGGTCATGGGGATACTGAGTCTTGAAGATATAGGAGGAGAATGTGGAAGCTTGGTTGCCTTGAAGTTAGAGAACGGATATAGAAATGGCGATGAGATGCATCCACCTCATGACGCGCGTCACGTCCAGACGTGACGGGGTTTCGTTTCGTGTCGAGCCACGAGGGTCGGGACTATACAGTATTTCTCTAGACATTGATCGCGATTGCAATGTTTGTTGGTGGAATATTGTTGCAGTGGGTTTCTATACTAGAGTTGGGTCAGGCACGGCAGTGAATAGTGAATCCTCATTACGACAAGCTATCTCAAATTGACAGCATACATCACATAATATGGTTTCATTATGACTGCAGAATTTCAATTTACATCAGCCTGCCCAAATCCCTATCATTCAGCACGAAACACCGAAATATGCACAAATAGCCCTCAACGACAAGTGCTTTTACCAGTCAAAACCATGAGACGCCACCAGTGCGTATGTCCTTTTTGAAACCAACCACAGACTAACCACCTACTCCGCCTCTGGTTTGACCTCCTCTTTCACCTCCGGACCAATGTTGATTCTGGACAAAGCCTGTCCGGTGGAATTCAACGAGTCAATGAAGCTTTCCAACAGTCGGTCCAACTCCCCAGCTATCGCATGGTCGTTCGCACCAGCCATGAAGAGCTCAAGCTGAGGCAGAGGGAGCTCGGGGAACAAAATCGGCTCCCCGTCATTAGTGGTGAGCGAAGGAAAATTGGTTCGAGCCGTAGGCAAGGAGTCCGATACGGAGGAATTGGCTGACGGGACGAAGGGAAGGCTGAGGTCGATGCTTTTGGTGGGGATCGCTGTCGGGAACGGTTCAGACAAAGAAGGGTCGTCCGTATCCTCAGAAGGCTTCTGCCACACGTCATCTGTCTCCTCTTCTTCATCTGGACCAGGGCCATCCATCATGCCGGACTGGTCGTAGTTAGGGTACTCCAACGTATTCAGCAACTGGGGATACTCAGGACTTTTTGGGTCCGCGGGCGCCTGGGTAGGTGGTGTGGAAGGTCGATCAAAGCGGAAGGGGTCATAGTCAGTCTCAGATCCATTGGACTCGCCCGATCTAGACGTAGATGGCCGGGAGTCCCCGGGCTCACCAATACTCGAGCGCCGGACTGTGGTTGAAGGCTGGCTCTCGACAATTGGTGCCTTCAGAGTATCGTACTGACTGGTATCCACAAAGCTGTCGCTGCTTGCGCCCCCACCATCTGCAGGAGCGGTCATAACGGGAAAGGTCCATTCCATAGTCGCTCGTTTATCAGATGTGTCAGGCTCAGCTGGCTTTGTCTCTGGTTCTGGTGGGCTGGCTGGCTCAGCCTCTTCCGTCGGAGGTTGCATGAACACAGGAAACTTCCAGTCCATTGTAGGAGGACGAGGCCCAGTCTGGGGCTGAAATGTCATGTCTTCGGAGCCCCGGTTGCTGCTAACACCGCTGCTGGACGAACGCGAACGGCCTTCAACAGAGTTCCGATGTTGACGCCCACTCGTCCGGTTCGCTCGAATAGTATCCGCATCGGCAAGTTGGAATGGCTGGGCTGAGGTTGCTCCGGCAGCATAGTGTGAGGAATCAAAGGAGCCGATGTCAATATCAATAAAAGTCGAGGTGACTGACGATCGATCGGTATCGGTGCGAAGCGGAAGATCCGACGCAGGGGCTTTTGGTTCGATTGGAATGAAATCATTCTTGGTCTCGTACGTGTAGCTTGGCTTGTCTTCGTCGAAGAGACCCTCCATCGCCGCAGCTCCCCGACGCACACGCTCGTCAAAGTTTGCCTTTTCCTCCGGCGTCATGACCTTCTCTGATCCGTCTTCAGAAGATTCATGATCCGAGCTAGGCACAGTGGTTGGGCTGATCTGATCTTCCATCTCCGCCAGAGAGGCGGCCAGCTGGTCAAGATCAATAACTGAGAAGCGACGCTCAAAACCATCCGTCGTACTAAAGTTCCAGTCCTCTTCGTATTCGGCTTCAGCGCCTGGGAGTTCTGCAGCAGCAGCACCTCCGGGGTGAAAGAGAGATATACGCTGACCACCACGCTGTGACCATTGATAGTAGATGCGGACGAGCTCGCTGAGGGACGCGGTAGGATATGCATCCTCAGTATCAGCAACGTAGGGATGTGTCAAAATATCTGCCATCCCAGGCCGGGTAACCGGATTGGATTCTAGGGCAAATGAAACGATGCTCTTAAGGCCGTCGCTATATTTGTCAGTGTCCAACTTCGGGGTGTTGCGAGTGATCTGTCTGCCGATTTGTATACGTTCGCGAAGGTTCGAGTTAGGGGGATTGCCCGTGGCAAATTCAAACAAGGTACAGCCATAGGCCCAAACATCAATCTATAGCAGTCAGTATGGGGAAGTTTCCTTAGAGGCGTAGAGCTCACCTCACTACCGTACTTGTGGGCTTCACCGCGAGTCGCAAACATCTCGGGTGGCATCCAGTGTGGTGTTCCAATCCAAGTGGACCGCTTGTCCATCTGAGATTGAAGCACTCCGGCGACACCAAAGTCACAGATTTGTAGTCTTCCCTCCTCGTGGATCAAGATGTTGGCAGCTTTAGATGGTCAGCCGCAGGCCCAGTATTAGAAAGGCAACCGCATACCTTTGATATCTCTG